GGCAGTCAAACAACAAATAACGTTGCACAATTATATAATAAAACTCAGATTTTCGCGGTGCAACTATACGGGACGCGTGCGTCACGGCTCCGGCGCGGGACTCGTTGTTGTGTGACGCTCCTACGCAAGCGTCGAGCGGTCAGTGGCGGGGAAGCGGGGGAAGTCGAATAGTGAGGTAGCGTGTCGCGACTAGAGTTGCGCACGTGCGTCCGACACAAACCGAAATCGAATTTGCCGCGTTACATGTCCTTTTTTCGTCTTATCTAGTAATATCTTCTGATGTATTTTGTTGCGGGATCCAAAACAATTTTTCATGTTCCTGAGATTCGCGCCGGACTTTAGTGTTTTCATGGTTGTATCTACCTTATATCCGGAGGGCGGGCTTGCCCCATTAAAAAAGTGAATAATAAACGAAAAGACACAGACAAACAACCAAAGAATGTTTCTCTTCTGTGTCTGATATTAAATATTCACTAACTTATAATTTTTTCAATATACAATTACTTCAGTTTTAATTTACCTTAGAGAATTTTACTGTATTTTTTGAGCAACATTTTTATACTAACTAACAACATTCTATATGTAGATAAACATTATGTTGTGAAAATATTTTATCTATCGCAGGATACAGAGTAATAATTTATAGACGCGAGTGTTCTCGAAAAGCGATTACCAATTCATTTTACTTTTTTATTTTCTATCCTGCCTCGTTTAGACTAGTAGATTTAAACAAGAATCTTTATAATAATAACCATCGTTTATTTTAGTTAAACAAAAATAACTCTGATTTAAGAATTTGTGTTGTGATATCGTGGAATCAACATTAGAGGATGAACAATATAATACCTTCCAAACACGCTATTTCGATCTCATTATCATCATCAACAGCCTATAAATGCCCACTGCTGGGCAAGTCTCCTCTCAAACGGAGAAGGTTTGAGCATTACCTAATCACCACGCTTACTCAATGCGGGTTGGCGATAACAAACTTATAATTAGAAATTATAAGCCCAGGTTTCCCGAGGTTCACCAGGTTAGTGGTATCTAGGTAACCTTAGAAAGTACATATAACTCGGAAAAAGTCACATTGGTATTTGCCGTTGGTAGGTTTCGAACCCTCATGCATGAGAAGCGGGCGTCTTAAACCTCCGGGCCACCACGACATTTTGATCTTATTAAAAACAAAAATTTATTTTGATCTCGCTCTCAAAACAAGAACAGTAATAATATTAAAAATTAATAACAAAAAATACCTCTAGGAAACAAAACAGCCGCATTTTCCTTATAAAATCTCCTTCACTTTGACCGGTGACTCGACTCTAATGTAATTTGCGTTGGCAATGTGATGCACCGATGGAGAACCTTTCATTATTTATTGTAGAACGCAATAAAACCGGGAAGCAATAAAGGAAATATTGCTATTTATTTCAAAATAATTGGGTTCCTTCCAGATTTCATGTTTTGGTGGAGTCCCAAGTCAAATAACACTTTCTTATAAACCAAATCCTTTCTGACTGCGGTTTTCAACCTCCTGCCAAACGAAGAGGACATAGAGGTCACCTTTGTAGCGAAGACATGGGTCTTCGCCCATAGCCCAGCTTATAGCCCAGGAGTATTAATTTGGAGAATCACTATACATTTTTTTGTATATTATCTTCTTCTACTTACGTGTGCTTAGTTTATAATTGGTTTTGACCGACTTCAAAAAACGGAGATTAACTAAAAATAGCGGATTACTCGCGTGAATATACTGAGAAAAGCTTTACTAGTTTCGAACCACAGAAGGGTTCTTCCTCATAAGCAGCGTGCGCGATCGCGGCGATGTCGCGCAGCATGTTTGTGCGCGATTATCTCGCGATTGGCTGAACCGATTTCGATGCGGTTTTCAATTAAGTGTTTGTCACACTTAGGAAAAAGTTTGTAGTATCTACATATATTAATTAACCGAATTCAAAAAAAGAAGGGATTGATATCGATTTTTTTAGACGAAGTTTACAAGATTGAATATAATAATTACTATGGAATTCTATTTTATTCAACTCACTACACCTACTGCTAACTATTCTGAAATGTTAGTAACAGCTTTTCTGTACTAAGAAACAGAACGGAAATTTTCCACTAAACTATGGTAATCCATAATCCACATTCACTACAGCGGTACCAACAAAGCAATTCCCTTTATAAACCTTCCAGAAGTCTATAAGCTTTGTACCTATTATCTACACCGACCCACTATAAAACGTGAATAAAGGGCCGAAAATAACCGAAAAATAGACGCGAATGTTCTAGGATAATTTATTCTGTACCTTTCTGAAAATATAAGTGCTATAGTGAACCTTATACGTATGGACATATAGTCTTTGTTAAGAATAATATAAAGGTGAAGTTAAGAGGAGTTTCTGTCTAGTGTTTGGTCGTGATGTGAAATTTAGATCAGTCGTTAATTAAGCCAATCATGTAAATGGGGTTGTATATACATTCGCATATTACTGCAAATTATTATGACTTTTCGGAAGACTACTATGGATTGATTCCTTATCGATTCACTATACAAAATGATTTATTACCAGAACAAATCTTTCTCAGAACAAAATCCACCAAGACAAAATCAAATATTGCAAGATTCTGGTTATATATAACTATTTATAAAGATTCACTATATATGTATATATGTAAGTGTAGGAGAGCCATACTCGAGCTCGACCGGACTGATACCACGGCCTCACAGAAAACCGACGTGAAACAATGATTGCGTTGTGTTTTTTCTTGTGAGTCTCACCAATCTTCGTATCCCATACAATCCTCAAATTCCCAATTACCAAAAAGCTGGTAACGCACTTATAACGCCTCTGGTGTTTCAGGTGTCAGGCGGCGACGATTGCTTACCATCAGGTCATCCGTCTGCTCGTTTACCTATTCTATAAAAAAAAATATTTGCAAAGAAAATAGTCCAACCAAAATAACAACTATTAATATATTTTCCAGTCAAACGCTACCGAAGGTTTATCATAAATAAACGTAAATGGTAGGTTATGCGATTTTGTTCTTTGAAGCTTTGACTGCCAATAGAAAACTGTCAAAGTCAAAATCATTTATTTCAATTAGGCCAGAATGGCACTATTGAACGTCAACAAAAAAATTAAACGTGAAGCTATTTACTCATTCCAAGCTGTAGATTCCTATGGAGAAGAACGAGCAAGAAACTTCATAGGTTACTCTTTTTCAATCAGGTTCACAATACAATTTACTGTTTAAAACAATTCCTCCCTCCTCCGCTAATATCGGTGACCGGTGACCCCCATGGCGTGTAACGTATTAACAAAACTACTGAGCGCTAACAAAATGTACTGTTTAAACGCAACTGAATTTCAAACTATCATTCTCAATGTAAAGGTCACATCGCTATCCCCTATTTTCGGCCACATTACAATGCCAACTATATTGGGAGGCTAGTCACGCTTGCAATCAGGTGCGCATTCAAGCTTCAAAATATTGTTCCCATGTCAGTGGACATTCATGGCACATATCTGCTAAGGTCAGTTTTGTGTAACAGGTAACAGGTGATAGGTAGATAAGTATTTGTTTGATTAAATAAGCAAGTAACTTGTAGATTTGTCAATTAGCATACCAGGGTGCTTATTCTTGAAACCAATCTCAATGTCAATGCAATTTCAATCCAATAAAATCTCAATAATTATCCAATGT